AAATGCTCTCTTTTCTCAAATGAATTTTCCTGCCTCTCTGATTTCACCTCTGATGGATTCTATTAACTAGTAGAGTGTCACTGAGAATTGGTGCTCCTGTCCCTACTGCATGGTAGATTTATTATTACTATTGCTATGATTGATAATTTCTGCCTCATATGATTCTTTCYTTCTGGATGTTTCTAACATCAGTTGCAGTTGTTGTCATGATTGGAATTTAGGCCCCATGTGCCACATAATGGCTTTTTCCTTGAAAAGCCATGCTAGGAGGAGCAGTTTTCATACTTACATTTAAAAAATATGCCTCTGAATTAAATGTTCTTGCTGGTGGTATAAATGGAGACCAAAAGTCAGACTGTTACTTGGCAATGAAAGCATGTGCAGTGCAAGGAGAGGCTGACTAAGGAACTGGAAGGAGGTAGGTGGGTCAGTTATTGGCTCTACAACACTSTTTTCATTCCTTCTGCCCAGATTATGTCAGGCATAACCCTTAAGGCTGGTGACAGTTCTCTGAGGCTTGTGTATCCAAGCAATAACTGTGTAATGTTTTATAACCATCCATGCAATTGCTACATGCCTAGAATGCCTACCAAGTCCAGGGGGAAATCTTGCTTTCCCATCAATGTGTCCTTGTAACACTGTGTTGGAGAATTTCACTGTGGTTGTATTTTGGGGTTCCTGACCTTGAGCCATCTTCCAATTTGAAGCCTTCCTCAAAGTCTTCCTTTTTGACCTTTATGAAGTGGACTTTCGTTCTTGAAGCCATCTGRGCTTGCAGCGAARACTTTGATTTCCTAGACAAGCTCACAATCACCTCAAGACAGAGTTTAATGGCAGAGATATTTGAAGCAGAGGAGCRAGAGTGACACCTCTCACAATATTTCTAGGCATTGTGAGGACTGTAGGATTTGAGTAGAAGGCTCAGATTCAGTCAGTACGATTTATGCTATTTTTTCCCCTCTACAGAACAACCAGCCTTCTTTTTTTTTTTCCTTATGGTTTTTCTTCAGTGGTAGTACTTTCTCTCTTCATATCCTGTTTCATTTTGGTTTCTTTTCTTTTTTTTTTTTTTTTTTTTTTTTTTAATGATTTTTTTTCTTGCAGCATTACAGGTGATAAGGAGCAATGAGAAAGCAACAAATATTTTATCATGAAGTATCATTTATTTCCCTTCTTCTATACTAAGTGACATCTAGTGCCTTCTTTTAGTTGCTCATACTTGTAGTGTAGACCTTGGGTAGGATGAAAAGTTGTCTGATTATATTTTTGAGTGAAGAGAAGACAGGTTTAAATTTTGGTTGTAGTCATATTCCACTCCCACCTGCAGTTTTGTCCAGTCTTATTTACTGCTACATCTGTCTGAAGAAATGTCGCTATGGTCCATGTTGGGAGCTTTATAAGGAGCTTCCTCTACAGGGGTTACATTCTAGAAACCTTTATTATATATCTACTGCCAGTAAACTAAACTAAACTATGTCTTCATTTCAATTTTTAGATTTAAATTTAAATTCTAGCCTTGTTTGTTTGTCATGATTTAAATTGGACCTCAGAGTGCCTGAAAATGGGTTAAAGGAGTGTAAATGTTTGAGTGGAAGGGCAATTTCCATAGATCTGTCTAAGAATATGAGACAAAACCAGAAAGGCTCAGATGAGCACATGTTTAATATTTCTTTGAAGACAATGCTCTCACCTATGGCCTCTATATGACCTAAAGTCAGATATTTCCATGTTGCAAGGGTTGCCAGGCAGTGCCTAAGAGTCTGGATAAGAAAGTGTGGGATAGATTGGTTAGCAGTGCAGTTTGTAGATGGCTAGTCAATATTTTGATATTAGGCCTTCTGCCCTTGCCAAGGGCATTTATTCAAAGACTCAGTTATCTCAGTCCTTAGAAGTGGCGACAATCCCCTGATGAATGTGTCTTCAGGCAATAACTCAGTAAATTCAGGTGCTGCCTGACTAGTTTGCCTCTTAACTCCTACATGAACTCACTTCTTTGTTTGTTTGTTTGTTTTCCACTTGCATGGCCCTTTAAAACCATGATGGAGAATACCATTAAAGCTGCATGTAGATTTCCTAGGCCTGAGACACCTGCAAGCTTAGTTTGCTAGATGTCTTTCTAGGTCACATTCACAAAGGGAGCTTTTGAACCTGCAAATATTTTGCAGCAAAATATTTAATTTCAGGCAAGGCAAGCTCACATCCACCTAAAGAAATGAAGTCTTGCATGTAAGGAAAATGCAGCAGAGAAGACAAGGCAGAATCTCTCCCCATGAAATTT